CCCTAGTTGGTGTTTATCATTTCCATGCATGTTTTTGTTTTTTTACATGCTTATAGCTGAAAAATATTCAGTATTGTTTTAACTGTTCGAAATTTATATACATAGTATACATGTATCCTTTTATAATTTTTATAACTTTGCTTATCCCTCTCAATGTTATGTTCATTCCTTTAAATCATCATGCAATATATGCCATTGTATGAATAAACCACAATTTATTTCTAAGGGAAAGTTCAGCTGTCTTTACTTGGGGGTTTAATTAACGTCACATAACTGTGTATTTTCAAAGCCTTAGATTGAATAAAGTATTTTGGCTGCCAATATTTATTGCATTACTTACCAGTCTTTCAACAGTTCTGTAACATTTGGAGTCTAAATAATTTGGGCTTATAAACTAGACAAAACAAATATTCTTCAAATAAAGCTTCACCTATAAAAAAAAGACAAAAATATTAATGGCAATATTAAACCACAAAAAAATTTTAACAAATAAAGTTCTAACATAAAAATTTGTGGCCAATCTTCATGTGATATATGAAACAGCCAACAAATTTTTTAAATCTTGAGAACACACTAAAAAAATGCCTAGCTTCAAGAACTAGTCTTGAGAGAGGGAGTCTTGGAACACAGTAATCTAAACCCGACAATTTAATCATAGCTTTCTACCTTTCCTCTCCCAACTCCGAACTTACAACCTCCAGGTAAACCACGGGTTAACTACAAAGGAAAATCAGACCAATATCAGTCTTCTTAACATTGGAATCTACAAGGCAGTGGACGATCATCTATAAAATATCAAGAAAAAAAGGTCTTCAACTCAAAGTTCTTATGGACAGCCAAATTATTACTCCCCTGTCAAGGTGAAAGATATTTGAGGATACATAAGAATTCAGAAAATACTAAAACCAAAAAATGATTTATTAATCATCACCAAATTTCCTATCCTTGTTGAGTTTTTTAAATGAATTAATCTTTTGTGTACAACACAATGATGGCTATTTCTAGAATACTAAAGGATAAATTCCTACTTCTGAGATAGCAACAAGACACTTCTCTTTAGTTACCTGTTCTCCATAGTTTTTTGTTTTTTTTTTTTAAACAGGAAGAAGCATGAAAAATGTTTCGTCATTATAGCTATAAGGAAAACATAAAGCTTTATTTGAATCACAAATTTTTAAATCAGTGTGACCTTTAACTGCTCCAAAATGCTCAAATCTGGAGAATTCTGTGAGTGCCTTTCCGCTTGGCAAACGGTTCTTGCACCACACATTATTCCAGGCGTGAGGATAAAGCAGGCAGGAAATGAGACAGAGCTATGTTTGACTGCAATTAGGAAAAATCACCTTTCCTGGTGGGCGCAGCTGCACATCAGGGCACACAGCTGTCAAAGCACAGGCTAGATTTCAGTCCCTTTCACTCACTCCACTGGCTAAGCACCAGTAGCCGGTGGGTGCATCAACTACTCAGCCACACGAAACATCCCCAGAGGGGAGTCTCAACGGTGCTTCCATACCTGCTCCTGCTGTCTCCTGAGCTAATCAAAATCATCCTTATACCTTTAGCTCTAAAATTATGGAAGGAAAATTATCAGTTAAAGTATGACTCTAAAGATGGAATTATATTACCTGCTCTGACTACTAGCACCTTCAGCTTGGACTTCTACAAGGTAGAGCCGTTTGTCTTGCAAAGCAAAATGACTCCAGCTAACTCAAAGTGGCCACCAGAAGTGAAAGCTGACAGCCAACTAGGTCCATCTGTTCCTCTCTCTTATCGAGGGACACTTACTAGGCCAAGGCGAGGGATTTCTCTAATGCTCTTAAACTGGCATGGCCTCCTTTATCTCTGTATTTTGCCAAGTCCCGCTTAGATATCCTAGAATTACATTTTATCCAAGATCATAATTCTAACCGCCAGCCCAGTTATTTGTGCCCTCCGTGATTCCGTCATCACTCTTAATACACAGCTGTATTCTAATTTTTATCACCCTATATTATACTAGGTGTCCATAAAGTCTGGAAATACAGACATATTTTTAATTAATTAAAGATGTCCTTAGAGCACTGTATATATTTCTTCTGTTTCCAAACTACATACACACCCCATAGTTACTTATCTGTATAACTGTATTACCTTTTCTAGCTATAATGCCAAATTTTAAATTCAACATTAACATAATTTTCAATTTCTAATACAACTATTATAATAAATAAAACACGCCCCAACAATATTCCTAGAATTTTTCTATTCTTAACATTTACCATAAATGAAAAGCATAGTATCAAATGCCTATAATCATATAAATTACCTTGTCAGAAAAATAACGTTTCACTTTTACACAGGTACTGGTAAAATGTGAAATAGGAAAAGCTAAAACAAGCGCGTGTGCACACACACACCCCATTTAACATATTACCTGTACCTACTAGTTTTCTATCATCAGAAATTTCATAAATATGCCATTTAATTCAGCAAATGTTTACTGAACATTTGCCATGTGCCAGTTACTATTTTAGGCACTGCGTATAAAGCAACAACAAAATCCCTACCTCATGGGTTCCAGTGGGGTAGAGACAAATAAAAAAAAAAAAAGGAAAATCATAATGTCAGGTAGTGCTAAGTGCTATGAAGAAAGGCAAACCAGAATAAGGGTACAGAGTGACAGAAATGCTACCTGTCTATAAGGTGGACAAGACAGGTCTGAAGAGGTGATAATTTGAGCAAACACTTGAAAGGAGTAAGGAAATGGGCCGTGTGGATATCTGGGAAAAGTATTCTAGAGCTCTGAGATAAATGCATGATGTGTGGATACTGTGCTAGAGAAAAAGGGAAGTCAAAAATGACTACAGAGAACGTTTCAATTTTTAAAAAAGAATGAGAAAGTCACTTACTCCAACTTCCCAGGAACCAAACTAAGGTGTGAAAGAGGCAAGTCATGTGGATATCTGGGGAAAGTATTCTAGAGCTCTGAGATAAATGCACGATGTGTGCATACTGTGCTAGAGAAAAAGGGAAGTCAAAAATGACTACAGAGAACGTTTCAGTTTTTAAAAAAGAAAGAATGAGAAAGTCACTTACTCCTGCTTCCCAGGAACTGAACTAAGGAGTGAAAGAGGCAGCAGAAGTGCTGCTGTGGGACTGTTTCTCCCTCGTAATGGAAATCCCTCCCTTCCCCCCCCCCCCCACCAAACAGACTGCAGAGTTTATAGCCTACGTGAAGACTAGTACCACTCACTGATAGGGAAGATGGACAGAAGGCAGGTTGGAAGGAGAAACGAGGTTCAGTTGTAGCCAGGTGAAGGTTGACAGGTCTCTCAGAAACCTGTGAAGGACAACGTCAAGTAGGCAGTTGGAGCTGCACAACTGGAGTTCAGGTGTGGAGGCCAGAACTGTGAATCGATGTGTGAATCGCAGCATGCCGGCGTATTTTTAAAGCCATGGGACTAGATGGATGAAATAACCCAGAGCAGTAGTGCTGTCCCATAGAACTTTCTGAGTTGATGGGACTGTTCTGTAATCTCTGCTGTCCAACACAGCAAATGAAAGCCACACACAGCTAGTGGCTACTGTAATTAACAGTGGGGGCCTAGAGAATGAGGGTAAAGGGAGCAGAGAAGAGGTTCCAGGACTGACCCTGGGCTCAGCAGGATGGAGTCCGGAAGAGGAGGAGCATCCAGCACCGGAGACTGAGTAGGAACAGCAAGAGAGATGGGTGAAAAATCCAGAGAGTGTTGTCTCCCAGAAACCAGGTGAGGAAACCTTGAAACATGAAAGAGTGATCAATGTGATAAAATATTGCTGAGACTGAGTAAGATGATGACTGGGAACTGACCACTGGATTTAGCAACACGGAAGTTACTGAGACCTTTGTCAAATGGTCTTGGAGTGGGACACAGCTCTTTCTGGAAGTTCTGACATAAAGCATGCAAGGAAATGGGTGGCAGCTTGAAGCGGGGGGCTTAAAAAAAAAACATTCATATTATAGCATGTTTGTAAGCTGAGATACAGCATGTTTCTCCAATGGAGGAAGGAAATTAGATGGAAACTAGAACGAGATGAGATAATTCCAGGAAGAAAAATGAAGAGGACCCAAGGCACAAGTGGAGGGAACAGCGACAGTTCATTGGATGGAATAAGGAGGAGGTCAGAGTGCGTGAGCACAGACGCAGGAAGGTCAGTGTGTTTGGCAGCGGGAGGACCGAGAAGCTTTTTTCGAGTGCTTCTATTTTCTCATGAAATAAACAGCAAGGTTACCAGCTGAGTGTGAGAAGGGAGAGGAGGTGTTAAACTGATGAGTGCAACAGGGTCAAAAACAAAAGCTCTTACGAGACTTCCTGCCAGGCTGCCAATGAGTAATTAAGCTAAGATTGAGTTCTGCTCTTCAATAACTGTGCCTATACTATATAATCCAGTTCTCCTTCGTGTCCCCAAGGATAGAATGACAGACTGTCAGATACCCTATGGAAATCTAGGTATATTACAGCTATGGCATTCTCTTAATCTGTATGTGTACCATCCCTGTCAAAAGTGGAATCGATGTTATTTGGCGTGAATTTTTCTTAGAGATCCCACATAAGTTTTATTGCTCATCTTTTCCTTCTGTAAATATCTGCAAAACTTTTTTACGTCTTTTGTAGACGTCACAAACATCAAGTTCACTACAACCTTCGGAATCTCCAATCTTTTAAATTTTGGAACTTTATTTTTCCAAACTCTTCTACAAATTTTCACATTCACCATAATTATTCAAAAATTACCAATTCGCCTGGAGGTGGAGAAATAGCCTGATCTTGGCTTTGCCACCAACCAAGAGCCTGCGCTCCCTCCCAGCAATCTGAGACCCATAGCAACTCATTTCCCTTCTTGGGGCCTCAGTTTTCTCACCTGTAAGGTTGGCAGTATTTGGGGATGGGGGCTGAGTCCCTCCTAAATGGGCCAGGCTGAGGTCCTAGGCCCATTTTCCCCATGCTCTCTCCTCTCTAACCTTGCAGGCGTTAAGATCATCTTCCGTGTGGCCCTAGTGCTGCTGCGACACACGCTGGGCTCAGTGGAGAAGGTGCGCTCCTGCCAAGGCATGTATGAAACCATGGAGCAGCTGCGCAACTTACCCCAACAGTGCATGCAGGAGGACTTCCTGGTGCATGAGGTAGGCCTTGGGCCTCAGCACACCCCTGTCTGCTCCAGTCCATTCCCACCCTCCTCTTCATGCTGGTATCCATTTTCTCTCCTTCTAGGTGACCAATCTCCCTGTGACAGAAGCACTGATTGAGCGGGAGAATGCAGCCCAGCTCAAAAAGTGGCGTGAAACCCGGGGGGAGCTGCAGTATCGGCCCTCACGACGACTGCATGGCTCGCGGGCCATCCACGAGGAGCGCCGGCGGCAGCAGCCCCCCTTGGGCCCCTCGTCCAGCCTCCTCAGCCTTTCTGGCCTCAAGAGCAGAGGCTCCCGGGCAGCTGGAGGGGCCCCCTCCCCGCCCCCTCCTGCCCGCAGAGCCAGTGCTGGGCCTGCCCCAGGGCCTGTGGTTACTGCTGAGGGACTGCATCCATCCCTTCCCTCACCGACTGGTAGCAGCACCCCCTTGGCTCCCAGCAAGGAGACCCGGAGGCAGGAGAAGGAGCGACAGAAACAGGAAAAGGAACGGGAGAAGGAGCGGCAGAAACAGGAGAAAGAGCGGGAGAAGCAGGAGAAGGAGCGGCAGAAGTGGGAAAAAGAGCAGGAGAGAGAACAGCAGAAACAGGAGAAGGAGCGGCAGAAGCAGGAGAAGGAGCAGCAGAAGCAGAAGGAGCAGCAGAAGCAGGAGAAGGAGCGGCAGAAGCAGGAGAAGAAGGGCCAAGGCCGGAAGCTCTCGTTGCGTCGAAAGGCGGATGGACCCCCAGCACCCCAGGATGGTGGGGACAGGCCCTCAGCAGCTGAGGCCCGGCAGGACGCTTACTTCTGACCTCTGCCCTGGGGCTGGACCGCATTGCCCCCCTTTTTCCCTCAACCAAGAGCAGACCTGGCTTAGGGTGCTGCCCCCAGTCCCCTAGCAGATGGTCCCTCTTTCTGAGGAAAGTGGCTTGATTCCCCGTCTCCTCGCCAGCTGCTGCTCCCTTCATAGCCAGGACAGCCACAGTGTATGGGGCAGCTGTATTCCCCGGGGCAGCCATGAATACATTTGGGCCCTCTCACCTCCAGTCAGGCCCAGCTGGGGTCTCTGTCACTCCTGCCCCAATTCCCTCTGGGATCTCCTCCCAGGTGCTGTCCCGATTGGCCTCTTGTCACCACAGGGTGGCTCTTGGCAATGGGAATCGCAGTTTTCAGATTCTTACACTCCCTTTCCTTCCCCATGAGGTGGAGGTGAGTTCCTTTTCCCTTCCTCAGCCCTGCCTGTGTCCCTCATTTCCAGGCTGGGGGCCACAGCTCTCCTTGCTCTACTTCTGGACATCTCTGTGTAGTAATTATGTACAAGGACTGGGTTGGCCCCGGGGTGGGGTGCTTGCTCTGTCTTCTGTCCTTTGGTTCTCCTTCCGTAATGCTCCTGCACTTGGGTTTATTTAAGGGGACATGCACTGGAATGGGAACTGTCCCCCACTTCCTCTCCCACCACCCTGCTGCTCTCCCTCTACCTTCCCCCCTTGCTCTTTCTTCTCAGGCCTCCCCTGCCTTGTCTCACCAGGACCCCACTTTTCACCTTGTTTGCTTCCAACCCTCAGCCCCTATCTGAGTAAGGGTTTTCTTTTGAGCTCCAGGGGGTGGAACCCAATGTTTACATTCTCTTCTGTCTCTGTCCCCACCCCATGTGGCGCTTTGAGGAACCGGAAAAGAACCTGCTGTTGTACCTGTGCCTGTCTTCTGCCTTGTTATTTGATGAGGGGATTTGAAGTATCGTATAACTTCGTATAATGTATGCTATACGAAGTTATTACGGGCAAGTTGTCTTCTGACAGAGGCGGGTGAGGGGTTAGGGACTGTGGGCTAAGTAATTTAGAATAACCATTGGGAGCATAGTTAAATGGGAGAGAGTAATAATGAAGGACAAATAAAAGGATTTACCAGTGGGTTGAGAGCTCAACAGAGGCTGAAAACCATGAATTTCTGGCTCTGTCAATTTTCTCAGATATTTGAGATTCTCCAGCAGTATTTAGCTGCCTGGGTCTAATAGTAGACAGTGCAGATTTTATCGCCGAGATATAGAAATGGGATTTTTGGTGGGTGGAGGCAGCAGAGCATAAGTGAAAGGGAACCAAGGGTATGTGTGAGTGAGGGAATGGCCCATGTGGTTAAAAATGGGATACAGACTGGGTAGGGAAGAGAAAGACACCAGGCAAATGTTGATAGACAAGGAGAAAATACCGGTGATCAAGGAAGTGTGGCTCTCTATGAGACTGAAGAGTAGTCAATGTGGGAATGAAGAAGGTTGGCATTAGCAGATTTCTGAGACAAGCAGTTCTAGATGACAACATGTGCAAGTAGGTGTCTAAAGTGAGGTGAAAGTTAAGGTTACTCAAGGTAAGTAATCATTAGGCTAGTTTTTTGGACAACAGATCATTGAAAGGCTTTAATATGAAAGTGTTTTAACGGCAGGAATTTTGTCTATTGTGTTTACTGCTAAATCTCCAGCATCTAGAGGTGTACCCAGCACAGAGAAGGCATTCAATTCAACTCATCTGTAGAACGAATGACCTGGCTTTTCTCTTGGGATTCCCATTATGTTCGCTTGTCTCACTAAGCTCTCACAGTGGGTCGAAATTAGCCTCTGAGTATCAACTCTCCTGATATTTCCTTTGTCTTCTGGAAATGAAATGGTCAATAAAGTAAGTCAACAGTGTCTCTACTTTTACTGAGTGAGACTTCTGCAGAAATGTGGACAGCTGACTTTGATATCTCATCTCTGTTCTGGTTCTGTGATTAATTTCCACAATCTATTATCCACCTAAAAGATCACAGAATTAAGCTATCACCCTCTTCTTAGCATATACAGCTACTACACCTGCCCCTCACACCAAGTCATGACTACACATATTCTTCACTTTTAGAAATGTCCCTCACACAGTTATATTTTTTAATGCCTTGTCACTTCTGTGTTCGAGTCGGTGCTACCAAGGACATTACACTTACCATTGAAAATAAAATCTCAAGCTCAACAATAGGACAAGAAATAGTCCCTAGGTTGCTGAGTTCCCTCCTCAAGAAATATCAAATAGCCAGTGGCCACAGGGACAAGAAGGAAAAGGGGTCCAATGTGCTACAGTTCCCTTTTTGACAAATTCACTAATTCAGCCAATGTTTATTAAATATTTCAATTAATTATTCATTAATCTGCTTACTCATTCTAGTTTTGCNGGCCGGCCCCGTGGCGCACTCGGGAGAGTGCGGTGCTGGGAGCGCAGCGACGCTCCCGCCGTGGGTTCGGGTCCTATATAGGGATGGCTGGTGCGCTCACTGGCTGAGCGCAGTGCAGACAACACCAAGCCAAGGGTTGCGATTCCCTTACTGGTCATGAAAAAGACAAAAAAAAAAAAATTACCAATTCAGCAACAACATTAACAAATCTTCTCAGAATCTGACCCTGAGATGTGAACTCATTTAGAGCAGCCACAGGTTTTGATACAATCTCCTCCCCAATCTTGGGCTTCAATTTTCTCCTATTATTTTTCTTACTTCTACCCAATTAGTCTGTGTGTAGATTACTCTCCATGTCAGGGAAGACAGAAACAAAACAGAAGCTGAGAAGTTTCATTCATTCTTTGTATCTGACGATAGGGTTAGTTGATAAGAATCTATTATTTATTTCTCTACATATAAAATGTGAAAGGTCAGCCTTAATCTTTTTCAAAATCTCAGCTCATTACTCCACTAGGATTGTGTTCCTCTTTTATAAGTTTTATATGTATATACGAGTATATATGGGTTTCATATCCTCCTTTCCTTCTTCTGCGCATATTATTTTAAAATAGGCACATTTAGCTACTTTGCCTCTCCTTTTCTTCATATATTATTTCCAAGTGTTCAGCAAAGACTCGGTCTATGATCTCCTTACAATCACTGTCCCTTCTAGAGACTATCCATGGCAACTTACCTACCTCTTCTTTAAACTTCAGGAACTCTATTCCAATTGTCCATATTCTGGCTTTCCTCCATATTCCTTGCCCTGTTTATTATTTATTCATTTAGCTATCATGTATGAAACACCCACTTTGTTCCAGACACTAAGAATACAAAATGCAAAAGTAATTTCAGTCCTGCCTTCAAGAAGATCTCATTATGATGGCCAAGGCAAACCAACACACAGGGTACTACGTAGTGCTAAGGGGCACTTAACCCAATTTGAGTGGTCAGGGAAGTTTCCTGAGGGAGGTAATCTTTGAGCTAAAACATAAGTAGAAATTGTAAACGGAGAAAAAGAAGGAAGAAAGGCATTACGGATGGAAAGAGCGTTCAAGTTAAGTCACTGAGGAAATTATAAGTTTGGTATCACAAGTGCAAAATGAAAATGAAGTAAAATGAAAATGAAGTAGTGGCAAAGACCAGAACCTTGGGCTTTCGTCTGTTGGATAGTGGATCTCATCAGAATCACCTATGGGGTTTGTCTGGGCCCCTCCATCAGAGACCCTAATCCACCAAACCTGTACTGGGACTGAAACATCAGCTTCACAGGTGA